CTAACAGATAATGCATTAATGTCTAATTTTTCAAACCAGCAGTGCCTTCTTACTTCTTAGGTTTCTTTACTAATGAATTCACCGCTTCACCTCACCGTAAATATTGTGCGTAAACAAATGCAAGCTTTCCCTAAAATACGGAGGTCACACCTTACTTATCCAGAACTGCTTACTCAGTTTTAAATACTCAATCACCAGAATTATCAAACCTCAACTCTATTTAATATATGGCTATTTGCATTTGTTCGACAAATGCAAGCCACTCACAAATGGGATTTGCGAATTTCATATTCTCTCCGGCATATCCAAGAATACCAGTTAGTTACAATGGGAAGAAATTAAAACTACGGATGTGCACCTCTGTTGTTCACGTGCGTACTGCAAATTTAAGCATAACACATTCCTGAATCATTCATCACAGAGTGAATTTCAATAAATGAAATGATCTAAACGTAAAAATCAACCTTGTGAATCAAGTCACGACAAGTACAAGAATCGGCAACAGGACATGGGCCTATTTCTTCACTGAATCGACACTTTTGCAGACCCGCCTGCGGTCCTGGCTGNATACATATATATCTGTCTCTTATACACATCTAGATGTGTATAAGAGACAGGTCCCATTAGTTGACAGTCGTTGAAAAAGATAAATGACCTATTATTTTAGCTCGAAAGTCGTTGTAAAGTAAAAAAATTGGTCGATAACTTCAGCGAAAGTCGTTGAAATTCCAACGACTATTGCCACTGTATGAGACCTGGTTGGAGGGTCTTTCTTCCTTTGCTTACCTGATGATCATTTCATGAGGATGATTGTTGTTTAGCGGCCACCGTAAGCACTGGAATTAAAGAACGCAGAAAAGAAAGTGTAGAAATTCACTCTTGAAGGCAGGACCGGAGCCAACTTCCTTACGTTTGTCAGAGACGTCTGTGGAAGACAACAACTGCCGTGCTTTGAATGGACCATCATTATCTCTTCCCTGAAGAACATAGCCTACAGCACTTCTTGACTAACATTATCAGCTGCACACCACCAGACAGATTGCATCCATTGAATTAGACCAATTAGCCCACAGGAAAATAGCCTGATGTCATATAACTTAGCGTCATCTGCCAATACTCGAAAAAATTTACACCACCCGGACGGAGCACACCAGAGCCGTCCATATCTGTCCCGTGTGTCAAATCAGCCTACGGTTGAATGGCCACGCGTTGCACGATGATACATTTTGGAACAGAACTATGCTATCTGAAACCTAACCCTCAGATGCTGTGAGCTAAAAGTTATGTAATTTAGCAAAGCTGTGGAAGTTGCTCATCAACGGAGGATAGATTTTGGAATGGAACGATGCATCCCATTTCTGAACCTAACCCCAGATGTTGTGAGCTAAAAGTGACGGTCTGGTGGTGCATGGCAGGATGCATGCAGTTCCACTGGCAACCTGGGTTGGTTGGTTGCAGTCAGTTGTCCGCAAGTTACAGTTCGACCTAAAGTCAGGGTATGAAGTGACGATTCAATGCAATGTTCAGTGGTGGACAACCATAACTCTCTGGGCTATTTGCTTCAGAATGTGGTGGCGTAAAGCTCCTAATATGTAGAGCAAGATGATGTCACGGGCTGGTTACCGACGGATGGCTTAATCCGCAGCTGATTGGTGGTCATCCGGAAATATGCTAGGCATTCCTTTCAAGGCTGATTGGTGCACAAATTTGGTGGTGCACGGCTGCGTATCCCATTACCTGTCCGTTGCGGGATGCATGCCAGAAGCCAGCATTGCTCAAGACCAGCATATGTTTCATCCCCTTTTCTGTGCCTTTGCGTAAGCCTGCTAAATGGCAGAGTAGACTAAGGGAATAAAGGGATTATATGTTAGAAGCTAAAGGTACAAATCCCCTTCATGGAAATTACCCAGCAAGCTAATGAAGTAAGGCACCAATACAATCGCTCTACACCGTATTTAAAACTGCTAACAGCTCGATCCCATGCCGTCTAACCTCCTCATGATTTTTGGTAAGCAACTCCCTACACCATACNATACACATCTAGATGTGTATAAGAGACAGCATATATACATCTTTATGGTAAGTTGAAGTGTTGAAAATTTCAAATTGTTAGGGATCATTTATTAGAGCCTGAAATGCTTGCATAAGTGATCTGGTTTCAAAATTAAATGGTAATTGGAGAATATATGATTATCAAAAAGAAAGCTTTCAAATTAATAAACATGACTCGAGTAAAATTTTTGAATGCAACCCAAGTAAATTTGAAACAGTTGAGATGAATTAATATGAATAAATTGAGAACCTGTCTCTTATACACATCTAGATGTGTATAAGAGACAGATGTAACCCATCTTCAGCTTTCAATGCCATGGTTCTACTGACAATGAAACACAATGTAGATAATATTCATACGTTCATTTAAAACTTTAACGGCTGAATTATAAAGTAACAGCGAAAAGGCAAAACCGGTGAAAAAGCATGCCTGTTCTACTCGCCACAAAAAAAATTTATTAACTGTTAAAAATGCTGAAAGTTAACTTATTCAAAGTTCATACACCAACCATGTTTAACAACACGTTAGTAAATTGACACAGCGAAATGTAGGAAAATTCATTATGAACTTGATGCAGGTATAATGAGTATTAAAAACTTGTCAATTATTTTCGTAAATTATAAATGCATTTCATAAAATAAGGCATAAAACTATGACACATTAATCAACATATTCCAAATGTTTTCTCTAAGCCTGACAACACTAATTGCAGGATTTTGCACCCACAGCCCAGGAGTGGCCCTGTCTCTTATACACATCTAGATGTGTATAAGAGACAGCATGCAACCTTGTAAATAAGTTCGTGGCTTGTAAATAGTTTTTCATTACTCAGCATAAATGGCTTTTCATTAAAAATTACCGGCGACGCATCTTAAAATTACCCGGCAACGCTTAGGGCTTAAAAACCCATATATTGGCGATGCTGCATCCACAATCTGCAACCTGGCCAACATGAACAACCAGGACTGTCCAACAAGTTAAAGCACGCAAGGTGCGAATTGACTCCCGCATGCCCCAGGCACAACCTGGCAAGGGCAGTTTCAACATTTCGATTCCCGTTGGCCGCCCATGGCCAAAGACCAACTCTGTCTCTCACTTTAGTGAGGATGAGACCCTTCAGAGTTCGGTCCCTTCCCCGTTTCATGCACATTTCTAATCCACATTCCTTGCCAGAATCCTAAAACATTATGTCGAACACAGTCGAAGAGACCTCACCATTTCTTCCACACAAATTGGAGTAACGGTATGGTACCAGAGCAAGTGGGCTTCAGAGGCCTCACGGTCAGCGGCCTCATTGCCATCAATACTACGGTACGGTGACCAGGCACAAACTGAAGCTTTATGTCATATGAGAGCCAGGCTGGACTTCTAAAATTTGTGGTTCACATAAAAAAGCGTTGTGCCTTAAAAAAAATGTTCCAGGCACCTAGAAACAGGTTTGCAGGCCGTCAGAAATTTGCTTCGGTTGCGGTAGCTATGATCGTATGAACATCAAGTCAGGCAACACAGAGAAGGTCCCATGCAAGATTATTAATTGCGCGTGTCACTCACAGATGAGCAAGAGGGATGGATCTACAGAAGGAAATACTATTTACTCCCAACATAATAGTTTCAAATTAAATATAAAAAAAAATATTTATGGCACCTATTTGTTAACTCAGCTTTCAAATTGAGGAGAAACTCATCGGCAGTTGGAGAAACTTCTCTAAGTCAAAGAAAAGGCAATGCACAACAAACAACATGGCACTTCACAGTTGACTGACTAGAAGAGACTCAATAGTCAATAGAATACTCAAAAGTAAAAAATTTAGCATTCAAATCTTTAGATTCTGTGAACCTTGTGATTTCTTCATTATTAAAACTTTAGAAGGCTCACATTATATCACGTAAAGTTTTCACTCAATTATCGTCTCAAAGTTTGGGAGCTTTATCTGCAGTAATGTTCTGTAGGTACCGTACCTTACCCACCGATTGCTTAATGAGAACTAACCATCATAGATTCCCGCCACGCAGCCACTGTTGCACACGATTGATTCTGCAGGCATGAATAATATTTACAAAGGTTATTAAACCATTCTGATTTCTGTTGAATGTCAGTTACTGATAAATTTTTAATATAGAAGAATTCGTATCTTTCATTTTTTCACATGACTATATTGATGTCGGTTTCACATTGGTTGCCAGTGCGGTTGGTATCCCTGCTACCTTCTTTCTTTACGTTTTTTGTTTAGCTGATCACAACGAAAGGAGATTGTATGTCTTAGCTGATTGCATTGGTGGTCAGTTTTGTATTTTTGGATTGAATCATAGGCAGTTTTTCATGTATTTGTGAGTGAGTGTACATAGTGAAGATGTTATTCTTTGCAATTTCCATCAATAATGAGATAACTACACTATTGTATTACACTCTTGAAATAAGAATTGTAGCATTATGCATTAAGTTAGCATCAGTGCATTAACATTGTGTGCATTTGAGGCGGTCCCTTCTAGCTTTCTATTGCTGATTGGATTCCAGTGGCTGTGACGTTACACACGTTTTAGCGATGATTGGATCCCTGTGACAGTACGTTGGACGCTTTCAAGCGTTGATTGGATTCTTGTGACTGTTACGTTGGACACGTTCAAGCGTTGATTGGATTCTTGTTACTGTGATGATGCAAGCGCTGATTTTTTATCAATGAAACAGCTGTGGTATCTTGCAGAGACTCATCAGTGATGATGATGGACTGAAAGTGGAAGTGTGCTGGACGTTCCAGATTTTTGGGTCCTGCTTTCTGATTTGCTATGTTTACCAGTTAATATATTACCCCTCTGGAATTCCACATTTATTGAGAGCAGTAGGGAGATTAGTTTTTCTTGTATTCTAAAGACAAGAGGGACAAGATTTTGTTGTCTTCTGTTTACAATCAAGTGTAGAGAACTCAGAGAGTCAGTAAAGATGACGTACCTTTCAGAAATTCAGAGTCGGGGTATGCAGCCGTGCACCACCAAATTTGTGCACCAATCTTTTTTTTTCTTTTCAAATTTGCAGGAGCCTCTGAAGACTAGTCCAATGCGGCCCCACGACCAAGCTCCGAGTTACAGCTGCTAATCAATTTAATTAATCACTCAATTTTCTTTAATTAATCACTTTAATCACTCACTTTAATCACTTTTACTACTTTAATTAATCACTTCAATTCATCACTTTAATTAATTGGCTCTCTACCAACTCACTGAAAACCCTGCCTAACTCAAACTGGCTGCACGGCTCAAACTCTCCCTAGCATCTGTTGAGGAGAACACTCCACGGCGGAGCCGTGGAACACGGCAGAGCCGCGAAACCCGGCAGCGCCGCAAAACACGGCAGCGCCTCAAAACACGGCAGAGTCGCAGAACACGGCAGAGCTGTGAAAGATCTTTTGTAATAATAACATTATTCATAAAATTAAGGGTTTCCAGCAATTGGCACCTAATTTTCCATGAATCAAGTTGGTCAACTTTTAGAAGAGAGGTCATCCTGAAACCAGGTTTTTTTCTCAAAGGTTATAACTAGAATTTTGCAGCTGAGGTTCTTGCTTACCATAGCAATTCCTGCTTTGCCAAATGGAGAGTTGGCCAAGGCCTTACGCAGGGTCAAATCGTTAGAAAAGAATTTTTCAACCGGACAGAGGTCAGCAATTGGTTCAATAACAATGACTCTACCAGGTACCAGCTACCTTGAGAGTTGTTAGTAGTAGTAGTAGGTTCTATTTCCTGGTTGGGTTGGCTTATGCCTCCAGCATTATCTAATGGCACTGTGACAGCTTTTTGCTGTGCTTGAGCTGAGGTTAGCCAGCTCTCATCCTCAGACATATCTGATTCCAACAAGAGCCCACTGGTACCGTTGGAGCAGGCAAAACCCTCAAAGTTACTTATCTTAGCTGGACTTAGCATCTCCGGGCAGTTTGGCCCTCCTAAAAGAGGAAGCTGGAGAAGATTGATATTCTATCAGTGGTGATGATTCAGGGATTTCAGGTATGCAGTTTGTACTATTGGCACTACTGGACTCTTCAATCACAGTTTCTGATTGGCTAACTGCATCGTTTGATGGTTTTTTATCAAGTGATCTTGACTTTCTCGAGTCTATGACGCAAGCTCCACCTTTTGTTTGGTGGTTTTGAATTCTAGAGTGCCACTTATTGGAGTGCCACTTGAATTCTGGCGTGACATTCAACATTTCACTGATCTTGAAAATCATCATCCATTCATGGAACTGGCTGCTTACTGCATCACTTGTCTACTTTGACCTGTCTCCAATGCATTGGTGGAGCGAGTGTTTTCACAAGTCACCTATGTGAAAAACAAGCAACGGAATAAAATTTCAACTAAGGTACTGGAGTCCCATATTCGGACCAAAAGCTATCTGCTCGGCCGCAACAAGTGATCAAACCCATAATGTTAGATCATGCAATATGCAAGCATGTACGAAAATAAGCAAGAGGAAGATGACCTGTTTCCGTGGCTTGCTCAGGTTGAGCGAAGGGGAAGAAATTTCAGGGAAGGGATCATGATAGTCCATTCGAAGCACGGCAGTGGTGGTCTCCGACAGGCGTCCCTTTCTGATAACGTCTTCTCCAGTCTCAGCATCGCACCATCATCTCCGCCGCTTCAGTCCGTTTCAGCGTCTCCACGACGACGGCAGGTCCACGACGTCTCACCACGCATCCACGCGTATCTACATTCACCACTCAACCACCCGTCCAGTTCCTCCTAGATCGTCACCTTGAGCATGTCACGTGAGCTCAACCAATAAATTCACTTTGTCTAATTATTGTGTGTTTACTTATCCCGATCAGTTTCGTCGTACCGCACCTAAACCTTTCTATCTGAGTTTAGTGAATGATACAACTTCATACAAGTTGTACTGGCCTTAAATAATCCTCTGATACCAGTCTAAAACGACATACATGGATAGGTAACGTAATTTTACGTAAATAAATAAATAATACCCATAACTCCAAGCAGGCGTAGAGCTACGCATAAATTCTTGTACTTAGCATCCCGCGTAAACGTTTTGAAAATACCACCGCTTGATTTACGTCTTCATAGCAGAACTTACGCTCACGTAAGTGGCTACATGCATGGTTGAACTAATACGTACAAGGTTGACCCACGCGCAGCTACGCCTTGCGCATGTCATTTGTTATTCCATCCGTGATGTCACCTTGGTCGTTGTGACGCACCGTGTGACTCAAACTGATTTATAACACCTGCTATGCTTATAATATGACTAATTGCAGTAAATAATTTTTTTGTGGCCATTTTAATGAGGTCAATTTTTCATGGTTAAACTAATACCAGGTTTACCCTAGCGCAGCTGCGCCTTGCGGATGTCAATTCTTATTCCAACTGTGACGTCACCTTGGTTATTGTGACGTCACCCTGGCTCTTGTGACGTCACGAGTCAAACTGATTTGTAACACTAGTTTTGCTTAAAATGAGACTAGTTGCATGCAGTAAATAAATTTTCTTGGGCCATTTTGATTAGGTCAATTTTTTATCTGCTTGCAAAAATGACATAGAAACAATTTGTTGATCTACAGTATTTACATTTTGTGCCCACAGTGTCACAGTGACGTCACTCTAAAGATGCGCAGGACGGCGAAAAATCGTCATCGCCGTGGGTCAACCTTACATTAGTTCAAGCATGAGCTTTTGTGTTAGAGTCCGCAGGCGAATTCGGAGAAGTGTCGATTCAGTCATTTATATCAATGAGTCTGGTTTTAAATTTCAGGCAGATAAATTCATAAGTGAAGAGTTTATAGGCAATTGGGAATTATGTTCGTTTACTTGTTTTAATAAAATACTAAAGCCTCCCCGATTACTTCGTTGGCGCTCCGACTCCGAGTATGAACGCGTTCATGAACAGACTAGATAAAGCTATGGAAAAATATATGTTCGGATTTGAAATGCTTAGCACCATATCGAACCCGGTGGAAGTTTATTAGCTATTTCACACTATCGTCAGTCCTGAAGAGATCCGGTCAAATGACACGATTTTAGATCTGTGAAGTGTGAAAAAGTCACGAAAAGTAAGAATCGGTGACACGTGACAGGCCACATAAGGCCTACTCTTCAGCACCGACTTCGCTATGTTATGTTAAATAATAATAATATTGGTTTCAGCGTTTATTAGGCCGTAGGCCTGTCGCCGATTCTTAACATCGCAGAACATTCACAGCATTTTGAGGTCTCGAAGTCGCAACGTACTACTACAATTCTGCTGTGCTTAACCGCCCGGCCTCCTTGCCGATTCTGACCAGAAACTGGCGCACAGAGCTGGGATCGAACCCGCGCCTCTCTAGTGCGTCAAACCGTCAATCTTGGTACTCTGAACTTTAACCACTGGGCCACCCTGCCCAGGAAATATAAAAGATTATTACAGATCTTGCGGCGAAGAATTCCTATAGTTATACTAAAGAAGAATTAAATATGTCTCAAATGTTATTTATCTGTTCACCAAATATAGAATTTACGTTCTGGACACATTAAGTTTGAAAATGTAGTTGTTACCCTTATCTAGTAAAGAGAAATTCACATTTTCTCTTCTGTGCGATAACTGTGAAATGTTTCCTTGTTGTCAATTCAGCTGTGAGCAGACACTGAACTGATAGCTGGGGCTCCTCCTGAGTCTTGAGTCCTGTTGATCCCTCGAAGTTGTAAGCCGTTTGCCTAAACGCCAGTGGCTACAGTTTGTACTGGTAAATCGCTGCTGTCAGATGGTGATGTGCTTTGAGGAGGGTAGGTTCTTGGGTCAGTTGGGTGGAAGGGAAATAATTAATGGGGAGCCTACCGTCGCTACCGACATGGCTCCATTGGTAGCGTCTGGTAGTGGCGAAGTAGTGGTACTAGGCTAGCCAGATGGAACGTTTAGTTGAGATGAAAGGATATGATTCTTCAGTACAAAGACCACAATTGGTAGATAGTGGCAGCCGGTTATGGCTATAACCAACTTATCAAGCCTATCAATACCCAACTAGTTGAGTAAAAAAGTCTATGTTTGGAGTTTGGACTTAGGAGTTCCAGCTGCTGCGCTGCAGAAGATAATCACAATAAGTTAGTAAGTGTGATTGCATTCATTGCAAATTGCAATCAAAATCTTTCTTTGCCAGCTCTCCCATACATTAGGGTAAACGCGGTATATTCCGACATCGTAGGTAATTCCGTCACTTCTCTAGTTTTTCCTTTATATTAAGCTTTGTTTTAGTTCCATGCGTTCTTTGATGGTTGAAATGGTGACGTCATACATTTGCGTGTCGAAATACTGCAAAAACACTAGGTCTTGGCCATCTAGTTGGAAAATATTGAGATCCAAAGAGAGACAATGCATGCCATGTGGTGAGATCATCGAAAAATGTGTCAAATTTGACAGTTGACATGGCTCTACCAAATAGTGAATAACTGTTTTTATAGGAAGAATATTATGGTTTGAGACTTTTAAATACGTCTGTGAATATATTAGGAATCCTCTAAGTATACTTGTATTCGCTTATTTCAAGTTATAAATAAATTAATAGATGATTAAGTTGAGATGTTGGATTTCAACACATGAAAACTAATTCCGACACAACTTGAATTGGACACACACAGATCGTTCAAAGCTTTGTACAAAAATTGAAATTTGCTTAATTAAAAGCCTAATAGCTGTTAATTAAAACGTAATTAAGTAGTGTTCAATATTCGTTAGTGTTCTAATTCAAAGCCATGTTGTATCCCAATACAGCTCACACAGCAAACTGAATTCAAACACGTGGATGTTGGCAATACGTATCAGTTAAATTTGAAGCGCTGACGCAATACGACTCACTCCATAGTGGCAAAGCAGAGAGTTTTTTTAGACTCTCCCTCAAGTTCATTTTTGAGTCCCATAAGTTGACCAGTAAAGTATCCTGGATACCAGCCTTATCATACATAAGAAATTGGTTTAAATCTTAGGTAAATGAGGAAGTTAAAAATGAACTGATTCTAATGCGTAGTGAAGTGTTTTGAGAGTCATGTGAAGGCAACAGAACTTGCGTAACACATACGTTTTTTTATAGTTTTTCATTTCTTGATGCGTCCTTAATGTGTCGGAATATACCGCGTTTACCCTATACAACAGTCATAAACAGAACAGAGGGCAGAGGCCAAAGCCAGCATATCGAGTCTAGTAGCTACTTCAAACTATCGTCAGTCACGAAAAGATCTGGTCAAATGACACGATTTTAGATCTTCTATGAACAAGGCATGAAAAGGAAAAGAATCGGCAACAGGCCACATCAGGCCTACACTTCAGCGCCGACATCACTATGTAATATGTTATGTTATATCAAAATCACTTGAAAAGCAAGCAACTAGCTCTAGCAGCCAAAATCATCCCAGGCTGCCAGGCAAGCAAAATGAATTTGCAGAACTCTAAAAGGTTTTTCCTCTGAAAAACAATTCAATAGGGTGGAGCTATGGAATTGAGAATCAAAAAGCAACATAGTAGGCATAATCCTGATGTTAGTATTAAAATCACTTTGCTTAAATTGCAAGTTTTTCAAAAATATAAAAGCAAAGAATATAGCTAGAAAATTCACCATTTCTTAAAAAGGTAAATGTTTTGGAGACCAGCTCCATCATCAGTTCAAAACCTAAATGTTAAAACACAAGTACAAACAATTGGAAATACCTAATTTCACATTGAAGCAAACATTGTCAAATGAGAAACAAACAAGAATGAAGCAAATATGAGCAGACAAAGCTATCTAAAATTTTAAGGGCATACTATGAACTGTTGGCAGCATTTAAAATAGGCTTTTCTTTAAAAATATAAAGGGACTCTAAAATTTGCAGGTCAGAGCTGCAAAATTTGCAGTTCTTGTTATTTTTGGGCAGATACATGTCCCTTTCCAGCTGGCAGCCACTCCACAACTTGAAATTGTGATAATGCCTTGTATGTTTAATTTTTTCAAGATTACTTTCTACTCAACTTCACACAAATGATGCAAAAGAAATCTTTACTATGCTCACTGCCCATTGGTAACTATTTAATGATTTGTGTTCACCAAAACCAGCCTGCAAAATTTACAAAAACCTTTGTTTGTTTTATGATTTGATTTTTGAATTTGGTCTTGCCTTTTCAATCACGGTACCTCTTTTGCTCTTTGTCCAAAGTAAGAATCAACACAAGGCAACAAACAATACTACAAAACAAGAATCGACACTACAATGCAGGACTCAACACTACAAAGCAGGAATCAACACTACAAAGCAGGAATCAACACTACAATGCAGGACTCAACACTACAAAGCAGGAATAAACACAAAGCAAGAATCAATACAAAGCAAGAATCAACACTACAAAGCTAGAATCAACACTAGTTTAAGACAAGTTTCAAGTGTTTCTCTAAATCTCTCTCTGTCACTTAAGCACTTTATGACTTATGCAGCTCATGGCAGCAATAAAAAGGCAGATGCAAGCCTAGCCAGAAGATAATGGAGTAGTGGTGAATATATTGCAGAGTGCTTGAACATTCCTTTGCATTCAATCACCACTCAAATTGAACTTCAAAAACAGTAGAAAAGATGCAAGGCATTGCTTTGTAAATGTTAATCAAAGGTTCCCGTTCAATTCACTTCATTACATGTCTTTAATAGAGAGCAGCAGAAAAATGGCAAATCCTGCAATGGTTTTCAACCAACTTGCTTACTAACTTTTCCCTCTATTAACTCCCAATTTTTTCTTTGTCTTTCAGGCGGTAAATATTTTTGGTTATGAATATTCTACCAGTTTCACAGCATGGCTCCCTTCAGAGCTTATTGGGTAAGTAAACAAATATTGATCTTTAAAGTATACATCAATCTTTGGACTCTGAACTTTTCAGTGGTCAAGTTAACCAATATGTACAGTACCTACCTTACATTATCCACCCAGTATTTCTTATCATGCCCCCTGGTTTTTGTTTCAGGCTATGTTATCATGCTAGCTGCTGTGAAATAATCATCTCATTGTTCCTCTGCAACTCTCAAGAATTAAATATGAGCACTTAGATTAAAGTTGTAGCTCAGACACCAAAAAACACTGGACCACATATTTGAATTGTTGACAATTTTGGAGTTTTCAATAAATTTTCTTTATCAGGGCAGTCAAGCTCAACTATAAACACAGAACAGCAGGATCTGCTGCTTGCCAACTACAACTTGCCAGGCTTGCGTGTTGATGGCCGTATGTCTGCGGCCAGAAGATTCTTCTGCCTCTTTGTCTTTTTTGATCTTCTCTTCACATCAGTCTTTTGGATAATCTGTGTCTTAGTGAGTGTATATGATTAGTGTGTAAATCAGTGTTTGGTGAGAATTGTTACTGTCATTGAGGTTTGTAGCATATAAATGAAATCTTTAACTGATAAACCTTTGTATTCATGCTTGGAAATTGAAGATTTTCATGTACTGCAGTTAGGTAGAAGTGTATGAAAATAATTTTTCACAACAAGAACAAATTTATATAATTTCTTTTCAGATTGATGGCCAGAGCATCAAAGATGGTTTGATTGAAGAAATTGTGAACTACACATTTGCCACATCCATGTTTGATATGGTGGTACGTTGCTTCTAATTGGATTGTGGCATTCTGTCATTCCTCACACTTTAATGTGTCCAATTAGGATGAGTCTTGAACCACACCTGAACTGATCTGATTTGTTACACACTAAGTTAACTAAGTTCGAACTTTCAACTTTCCAGGCTATGATCAATCTATATTTTTGGATCCTGAATCCTGTTGATAAAAATAAGATTATTGTATGCTTCTTAACGAAAGACTCATTCAAACTCAAATTTCATGTGAAACATGAAACTCCCATTTGACTGTTTTTACAAATGCCAAAAAAATTTCCATTTGTAAATTTATTTATTTGTTTTTGTTTTTCTGAAGAATTTTATTTGTCTACCAAATTAAATATATGGATACAATTTTTAAAAAAATTCAATTTTTTTAGAATCCTTTCCTCCAATTATATATTTAAAAGTATCATAGATGCACTCCTGAAAGCCCTTGATATATTTATGGTGACAGGCTTGAAAAAACACAACCTTTGACAAAATATTATAACATAAAGATTGTACAGTTAATTATAGTAAGCGTTCTTGTCTCAGGTGTGTTCCATGATCCGCTTCTCATTGTTGCTGCTTGTCTATGCTCTCATCCACATTCAGCATTACTGGATGGTTGCAGTGAGTACATTTTTTTTAACTCTGTTCAACTTGATGAAAATTATCCCTTTTAATTAATACTTGAATACTGTATGTTGCATATTAAACTTGACAGGATAGTTTTTAGGACTTTTAATAAATTGAATAATCCAGACTGGCAACTCTTCCTTTCGGTTGGCTTCTGTTGGCCTCTTTGTTGATAAGAACTATCTTATGGATCTTGTCTGGGAAGTGTGTACAGTAAATATATTTCTATTGGGTTAGGACTTCCAATTGTTCTGCACCATTTCTTGGCTGGTTCAAATGCTAGAAAAATTGAATCACAATTCATTGTTATCTTCTTTTTAAACTCATTCCAGCTGACCACAATTCCTTACTCTGTCTTAATGCTAAACAATTCATTCAATTTGGCAGAATTCAGGGTAATCTTCTGCATATCTGTTACCAGGTGACTACGATGCTGTCTTCAGCTTTTTATGTTGCCAAGAGCTTGCTCTTTGAGGTAAGGACTGACACCATAACACAATAAAGGTTTCCTTAGTGATCTATTGGATTGTGATGTAATTATCTTAGGTGATGCATTGGAATGTGATGTGATTTTCTTTCACAGTAAAAATAACATTAGCAGAGTAGTGCCAAAACATTTTAATTAGCTATGAGAGGAACATTGATTCAACAAGTGATAATGTGGATTTAATTTGTATTTTGTTGCAGTGGAAGGGCAGTCCTGATACTGGAAATAGCAGCTCCAACTACCCATTCCTGGTGGTGCTGGTGCTCATCTCCTTCTTGCTGGCCTGGGCGGAGGTCTGGCTTATAGACTTCAGTGTCTTGCCTCAAGAAGCGCGAGCCAAGAACCTCATCAGAGGTCAGTCTCTTCAATTTAGCAATCATTTGTGTCATTTGTGTATTTTTACTATACTTACTGCTGATTATTGTGCGAATTGTAAATTACTAGACATGCCAACACATTGTTCTTTCACTTTCTTGTTTGGATTATTGATAATATCAATTAAATATTTAGAATGGTCAAATAATTTCTGTATTGTATTATTTCTGTATTAGTCCATTTGAGATTAAAATCCAAGTTGCTATGAGCTTTGCACTAAATTATTTTATTGAACTAGGCCTCAAGCTCATTGCAAAATGAGCTTAGTTGTGATGTTTCACTTCACACACAGCACACTTAATTGTGCAGGACATGAAAAGATAGTTACTGTTGGCTTTATGTACCTTTGCTGTCAATACCAATGCGTCGCTATATTTGTACTTCATATGTCTGATGATTGTCCACTTGATGATTGTCCACTTGATGATTGTCCACTTGATGATTGTCCTCTTGATTGTGTCCACTATTGAACACAGCTCTGACAAGCCGTGGGCCAGGCAGCGTGTCGGGGCAGCAAGACGCCACCGCCAGGCTCCGGGACTACATCAGTCAGTGCGCTGCCGAGTCTGTGGCCAACTTCTACTCCCCTCTGCAGTCCCCTTATGGTGCGTGTCGTTTATTATAATATGATCTACTTTATGTTGTTGATTTTGTATAATTAATGTAACCGATAGGCATCTTTTCTGCTAGCCATTGGATAATGTGAATTTGTAATGATCTTTCCCTCAGGGGGGACTTCTGACGCGTGTCTGTGCGCGTCAGAAGTCCTATGGGATTTCGCGTTCCTAGGGGGATTGTTCCTGAGCGCCCCACNGCGCCTCAAATGAATGCACTCGTGCCTCAAATGAATGCACTCGTGCCTCAAATGAATGCACTCGCGCCTCAAATGAATGCACTCGTGCCTCAAATGAATGCACTCGTGCCTCAAATGAATGCACTCGCGCCTCAAATGAATGCACTCGTGCCTCAAATGAATGCACTCGCGCCTCAAATGAATGTATCCTGCTCCCGTTCAACATAAAGTATTTTGTCAGGAGAACGTGTGGCTGTGCTTGGGTGTAGAGGCGCTGCTGCGTAACTACGATCTGCTACGCACGCCAGGCTGGGATCACCACTCGCGCACGCCCGCCGGCGACGTCATCACCGTCAGGAGCAGCCCTGCTGGCAGGAAGATCTTCCGCCTCGCCGTGAGTGTCTTGTTCCCTCTACGTTGTTCTTGAGTAATCGAGTAATCAATCATCTTGAAAGTTGTGCGTTGTTATCAGAATAATTGAAGTCTAGCTGTCGTTGTGTTAGAGACATTTATTCCGGCATATTAACACTTGTTCTCCGTTGTCGTTAAAATTTTGTCGGTGACTAAAAGAGTTTTGAAACAATTGCTTGACGTATTTCTTTAAATATGTAGGTATTGTTGAGCGTATTTATATAATAATTCATCTTAATTTCAAAGATAATATCCAGAGAACTTGTTGGGCTGGAGAAATTGAAGAATTGGTCCTCTGAGGGAAAAATCGTTGAAAACAACTGTAGTCGTAAGTATTGATGTTGGTGGAAGGTTATTCTAGAATCATGGCATGCCACGATGGCAGTGGAAGGTTTTTCTAGAAACATGACATGCCGCGATGTTGGTGGAAGGTTAGTCTAGAAACATGGCATGCCACGATCTTATAGAAAGGTTAGTCTAGAAACATGGGATGTCGCGGTGTTCTTGCTAAATCGACCTGATATATTTTCAATGTGGTACATTGTACAGGCTCCCCTGAAGGCTCCTGCCCAGCTGATCTTCAAAGATGTCGTCGACGACGCTGAGAATATGCCGTCCTGGAACTCTGCTTTGATGGCTGTTAGAAAAGTTCAGGTGATTCATTTAGTGTTGGTTTATAATTACTTCTAAGTGGTTATGCATTTACGTTTCAGTGCGAATTTATTAAATGTATTTTTGCAATTTTTATGTAGGCATGCATTAATTGAATGAACACTTTTGAACAGTCATTGTCTGGGAGCTCTGACGTAGTGCACCAGATCTCCGCGGACGTGTCGGGGTTGGTCAAGTCGCGCGACTTCGTCATGGTGCGGCACTGGAGGCGCATTCAAGGAGGCCCTCTGGACGAATGGACCTCCTGCTGGATTAGTAGCGTGATATCCATCGTGCATCCTCAAGTGCCTGTTGATGACCGCTACGTAAGGTAGGAAGTGCTGTTCTAATTATTAATACGTTAAGGAATCACACGCAAATTTTTCTTCACCAAAACATTCCGAAGATGAAGCAGCTCTTCGTGCTGCAATAAATTACAGCTGCATTTCTTTGCGTTTTCGAGGGTGTTAACGACTGCTTGTCGAATCCTGTAACTTTTTCACTTCACATTCAATTGTTGAATTGCGTAAAGCTAAATTTCCAATTAAGATGTTTGTTATATTAAAAATAGGCGAGAGAGCACACCCAGCGATGAAATTATTTCTGTGCATTTAAGTAGGTATTTCCCATAGAAAAACACAGGGTTTTGATTCATAATATTCTCAGGGGCGAGAACGGACCAGGATGCTGGTCATTTTGTGAGAGCTCGGGAGCTTCAAGCGCTTCGGAGTGCATGTTCTACTGGATCATGGAAACAGACCTCAAAGGCTGGCTGCCTAAAAGGATCGTGGAGAGCGCCATCACGAGCGTGATGTCTGAGCAGGTGGAAGCTCTAAGACGCAGAGCCGCAGCCCTCACTCAGCTGAAGACACAATTGACTGTAAACTATCCTAACTTAGCTCAGGATGACGACAACCTTTTGCGTGCCGAAGTGTCGAACTCGTTCACTTCCGGGGCCAACGCGTCACAATGTAATAGCAATCGTAATAGTTCAGATGACGCTTTGTTAGTTTGATTATCTGTGAGATTAGCTGTGCTAACTGAACTGGTCCTGTAACTTTAAAGAAAGGCATTGAGTTAGGATTAAAAAAAATCATACCCACGAGCACAGGAGACGATTTTGCCCCTCAATACATGCCCGGGCAACTTAATTGTTTTGCTCTGTCCGGTTAAAGGTCATTAAATGAAATACGCGTTATTCCACTCTGATTGCACTGCCGATGTAATTTACACACACTCCTGGTGCTTTGACCTCGCGAATAAATGCTAATCATTTCCTACTGATCACTTCCAGTTTACAAATATATCGAAATACATGCAGAAAACCATTAGTCTTGTTTCGCAATTCTGGGCGGCAATTTAGGCTTGGTAAAAAACAATAAAGCTTACGGAGGAGCCTTATTCGTGCTAAAATATTGATAGATTCCATTTGCGTGTTGCATTCATATAGTTGAAATAATAAATGCCTGATGGCATTGCTAACTTCTTCCGTTGCTTTATATACATCTTATGATCTAGCATTTTTACTGTCAACCACAATTTATACATCATCACCTTCATCACGATTAATCATTTTACTCTTTCGTAGATTTTTAGGTAGCGTGTCGGAGCTCAGTTAAATTTAATGTGAACGCTTGCTTGCTTACGTTACAGTTATTCTTTTTATGACCAATACATGTAAAGGATAAGGAGTTGCATCTTATGTGAAGATGAAGGCCGTATGCATGATTGAGTCTGGTTGTCAGGCTTGCCATTATCTGGTGTGCTACGATCTGCTAAAGATCTTTGTTAGGAATGTGTAACTACGTGGCTCTTCAATGTACCGCTCTGATGACCGAGTGAGTGGAGAGCTCAGTTCTCGTCGTCATTATTCCATGGCGCATGTGTTTGTGCTGATGGTTGATGTTTCAGTGAGGACTTATAATGTTTTCACAATTTTTTCACTGCGAGTCAATTATTCTATTAAAATCAATTATTTGCATTACTTGTATGAGCATAGATTGACACAAATTTCAACCCTAACTGCTTTCCATGCATGGCAGCGACGCTGCAACTAATCGGTGAAGTCGTGCGGCCTACGAACTCTTCTCAAAGGTTACGGCAATTCCTGTGCTACCACATCAATGATGAACAACGTATTCTAGTTGAATATTCCGCACTCTCGTGCTTAACCGAACGAGCTTGGAGTTGTTCATGTGTCACTTGTTCTTACCTACAATTAACAAATAGTCTTCTTTCCGAATTGCATTTGAAGGAATTTTATAATGAATTATATTTTGGTTGCAGGTGATCTATTGCATTGTATACATGTTAATTATCTGTAACTTACTATTAAGCAGTGGTCCAAAAAGTGTTTTGATTTTCTAAGAAATGGTTTGTCTTTTATTTGAATTTACTTGGAGATTATTTAGATCATGACCCTGGTTAAGGATTGTCGTGTGGGCCCGTTGCCGCTGTACAATTATTGGGCACAGTAACATGCCAGCGTATTGAAACAATAGGAAAGTTGTCCGCGTTTCTTTACTGCAAATATGCATGGGAGGTTGATCCTGTTCCTGTTGGATCTGGGACGATTTGCGTTGTTTGGTAACTTGTGTCGGTCAAGTATCAGCAGTATCCTCACGCGTTTGTCTTGGGATGTAGCCTTCAGACTACATTACATGGAGGTGAACGGTATGATCTCTCAATAGGTTCTTTGCAGGTAACTACTATTATGTTTTCACCGGCGACTAAGCCATAAATATGGTGCTAATTGCACCAAAGTCCGCTTACATCAAATTGACTGCAATCGCTCATATTTATATCATTTGATGTGATTACCAGCCCAAGTTTCCGGATAACACGTCTTAAAGAATAATATACACATGCCTGTATAATTGCGAATTTAATCTTGCTTTCCATGTGTCCCGTATCACAGGCCTGAACCTCTTGTAATAATATATTCTATGAATATTTATATTTACAATTAGTATATTTTATACGTAAGAGCCTTTGGAGTTAGTAATCTTATCATTGCCAGACTCGTGAAGCGAGGCGGCGATGTATTATGTTAGGGCGCTTCAGTGTTCAGGCTAAATAAGTAAATATTTCTTATGCTTTACCATTCCTCACACCTTCTTTTCATAGCCATGATTCGGTCATAATTAACTTTGATGAGCAACATTCCGTGAGACTGTAGCTCCACACGACACGAATCCCCTGTGCATGGTATCGAGTATACTATGAACACGACATGTGGACTCCCGCCCGCCTCGTGTTGTAACTCAAATAACTTACCTCACACCCTCTTACTCGTCCGCTGCTCCACTTATCTCACGTTGCTACGTATAATTAATAATGGAATGACCGTAACCCTTTTATTATATGGAACAAGTCAAAGTTTCGCGTAATTCGACCAGTTTTTTTTTGCAAACCTAATACAACGTTTTCTTGATTTGACGCCTCGGATCTCACCACGAGCGGGTGGTATGTATCCTGCATACGGTGCAGTGCTTGCCATCGCTTGAGACTGCAATTGTATGACACTCCTTATGAAATACTCTAGCAGTCGAGCTCGAGTTTTTATTACAACACTTCTCTTCAACTTCACTTCTTGTTGTTTGTTTGTTTGTCTGCCACAAATCTTATAATCGATATTTAACACACTTCTACCTGTCTAATTGATCTGAAATTTTGCATCAATACATGAATCAATTGACAGAATAAATAATTTTGAAAATAATTTTTTTTTTCAATATTAGAAAAATTGACAAAAAATTTTGTCAGCTACAAATCTTAGAAATGATATTTGATACACTTTTACCTGTCTAATTGATCTGAAATTTTGTATACTTGTGTGAAGTCGGAGGCAATGCATGAATCAATTTACAGAATAAATTGATGAAAAATTTACAGAATTTGAAAAATATTTATATATTAAAAAAACTTTATATGTTAAAAAAATTAAAAATTAATTTTTTCAAATATTCGAAAATCAAATGAGAAATTCATTGTACATCTGTAAGATTGGAGACACTGGATTCTTTGGAAGTGTTGTCTTTAAAAAGTAATTTTTAAACGCATATTATTATTGTTGAACTTGTTATAGGTTTTAATATTTTCCATCGTCAATTAAATACGAAATTTTATCTATCGTATCGATGACACTTTCATTTTATAAATCGTATCGATGACACTAACATTTACATTTCTGTATGGAACATTAGGACTTTGAGACCCGGACTGCATTTAAATGACCTTTTGACACTCAGTGTGAACCATTTCGTGAGCAGAGAACAGAACTGCGGCTCTCAAACAGCCTTGTTTAACACTGTCTATGAATCTTCCACATGTCACGAGGGCAGATTGTAAGATCAAAGTGTAATGAGCGAAGTGAAGTGTTCTTGTGTTCCAAATACGTGATGGAAGCTGGCACTGCATTTGCTGAAGTATTACCAATCAAAAATAAAAAAATAAAGAGTATGAACATTAGTTGGTTTTCTCATGCGCTAAGAATAGATTATCATTTCGAGAAAATTTTTCTGCAACTGCAAGAGTTATTTCAAACTTTGAACCGTTTCAAATTTCTCAAATGGAGTCGACCTCGACGTTGTACGTATCACTTATGAGTTGATGAATTGATTTAAGGCCTTTGTGGAACAGGCAAAGATGAACAGTGAAAGAATTCATTGGAAAATGAATTGATATGGAAAATGTAAAAAGAACGCCAAAGCAGGTGAAGAATCGTCTTGAAGATGAAAACGGTAGGGTGGCCGACTTGTATTAGATAGCCAGGAATGGCTGAGCTAGTCGCAGGTTCAAGCCTCGGATAGCTGTTGGAGGACCGCTGGTCGTGGGAATGCAGCAATGGCGTTGAACTTTTTTTATTAGCTCATACTAATTATGTGAACGAACCGTTTAAATGAAGTTACGATAATGCAGTTGTAGACTCGCCTTCACGTGAAAACTAACGCTTTTGAATGACCGTTTCCATGAGGATAAGATAATGCTGATCAAGAACTGCATAAGCGAATGCAGATGAAAACCGTGTTCGAAAAGATGTATTGAAGTCTACGAAGAAGCATCATCAGTACAAGACACGTTCGATGAAGAACTGTCTCCAAAAAGTACGCTAAATACGCTAATGCAGATAAAAGCCGTCTTTGAGAGAATATATTACAGCGTGCAGAGCATGAACCGTCATCAAGAAAATCTATGAATGTTGTGCCCTGTCCTCGACAGGATACACCGATGTGATGACGAAATTTTTCTCAGACGATTCATGGATGCGGAGTCGATTCCATGGAGTTTTCCAAATGTAGATAAGGCATCATTATCTAGATTCTAGAGGATAAGCTGAGGCAGATGAATAATCGTTTTTCAGAAGATACTCTAACGCATAAGAAACATGAGAAACGATAATTCGTGTACAGATTACATAGTCGACTAACGGATTATTCAAGTAGCGAGTTCAACAGTTATCACTGGTCAACAGAAAAATCAGAAAAATAGTTCTGATATCAGTTTGTGTTCAAATGTAATATTTTCGAGTTCACTGTTGGTTATCTTGATTTGTCTCAGAATTGTTCATTTCTGTTTCTCACAGTTATTTCATTTCCGTATCTGCGACAAGCTGCCTGGTCATTCGATCGGCGATAGCTGAATCTCCTCCCCTCACTTTCAAGGATTGGACTTCATCTATCGATGTCCTATAACTACCGAATTTGTCAGAACTTTGAAATGTTTTCGAAATTATTGTGTGGTTTAAAAAATATTGTAAAAAAAACTTAAAAAAACACGTTTTTCTTGTGGACTAAAAAGTAGAAAATAAATTATGGCTCGCCCCAAAAAAACTAATTTTGGTCGAAAAATGTTCGTAATTACGTTAGGTTTGCATCAGATTTCTCGTAAATTCTGACCTAATTAATGAGGGTCATTCGTGAGAGAGACGTATTGATTTTTCTGTATAAGTAAGTAAGAAACTAGCAAAGTTGAAAGAGTTGGAAATGAATGAACGTTGTTTTTAAATGAAGAAGCTGCATAGTGCTTAGCCAATGACATGAAACACCTGAATCTGAGCTGCTTGGCCTCTGAGATTTAGTGACAGATCTTACGAAAGATCTACCATCCCTAATAATACCAACTTTACACATCAACCAATTGCAACTGTATTGCGGAACTGCAAATGAGATAAACATTCTTTAAGTATGCAAGAAATTGAAGACAAATGAATTTTTTTTTTTTTGAGAAGCCTTTCGAGCTCATGAGTAATAAACAGAGGTAGGATTAATGTCATGATTACGGAATAAGAGCTAATATGAACTACACCGATTATACTATATTATGAAGGCATAACTATGTATGATATAATATTACATATATACTTAGTATGATATAATTACTGCAATTTTAGAATCTCAATCCCGTCATTCCCATAATCCTTAATCCCGTTAATAATAATAAAGCTTACATATTCTAATTTAATAAGGACCCTTTCAAACAAACATTTCACATGGAAAATATTACTTCCATTTTACTCTCGTTTCAAAACATGAATAAAAAACATTTTTCCATTGTAAAATTAAATTTACATTAATCCATATCGAAATCAAATCTCAATTTTGGATCCAATACTTTTCTTCTTTTTCTCAAATCCATTCTTATTCTCCCATCAAGAATGAAGTTTTAGGTTCTGCTAATATCCCAACATGATAAGTATAGAATGGAATAGAAGTGTCGGCGTTGAAGAAATAGGCCCATGGCCTGTTGCCGATTCTTGAACTTTTCGTGACTTGATTCACAAGGGATCCGGCCTTTGGAACCCGATATATTATGGCTACACGCTCGAACAGCCCCTATATACATTTGTGGTGCCAGGCTTCAGACATACACACTCCCACACAAGCTCACAAACTTTAACAAATATGTACGTATATCTGAGACGATACAACGCTGAGGTATACATGCATTTATCAGTTACAAATTAAGCACGAACAAACTAATCAAATCTTCTAGAATGTGAGCAGTCTTCTGTGCGGTACGAGGAAAAATTTATCAATAGACATTTTATTTAATCTATCACAGTTGTAAATTAAGAAAATACCCACTAGTATTAAAGGAATCTATAATAAAATAGGTCCCCAACGTAAGCCAAGGCCTGAGGGAGTGACTGGCTGAGACTGAGACTCGCGTGAGAACTCACAACCACAAGCCACAGCCGTCAGGGGATTGCCGAAGCCGACGGAAGCGAAGCTGAGCCCCCGAGGGCAGTGTTGCCAATTCAACCTTTTTCCCGCTACATCTAGCGTATTATCGGCGCATTCAGCGGGAAAAATAGGCTTTAGCGGAGTAAAATTTGTGTAAAATTAAGGTAAAATGTTCATATTAGTTTCAAAATGTCAATATTAAGCGCATTTTTGCTTGTAAATGCCAGGTTTAGATTGAAGATCATTGAAAGAGTTGGCGACACTGCCAGAGGGCGGAGGGCCCAGGATTGCCAGATGGGTCTTTTTCTGGCTAAATTTTGCAAATGTGGCTTTTTAATAATGCATTACCTTAATGCATTTTCGAAATGCATTGGCCATTTGGCCGGTGGCCACGTTGGCCTGACAAAATTGATTTGTCTAAATATGTTTAGTCCTTCCCATTCTCTTTAAAACTTGATTAATAGCCAATTTGACTTTAACCTGGTATACTGGTATTTTGGTCAGTCATGACGACATTCCATCATTAATCTAGCCGTCTACAACGGTAGCCCCAATTCCGTAAGGTCCTAGGAAAGTTAATACTTCAGTGAACGTTTACTTCATAAAGTCACCGTAAATCCTGCACATTCAGAATTTAATTAGAAATAGTCCAAGTATAAATTAAATCAGTTATTAGATTTATTGTCCCAAGAAAGTTCAAGAGGCCATGATTCACTATTTCAGTTACAAATAAAAATCGATTATAAGAAAAATGGAAAATTTTACCGCTACTCTAATCTAAGATGAGTGAGCATTCCACAGCTTGGTTTCAAGAATTAATTAGTTGAATAATTCTCGTCGCTTGAAAAACTAGACATGAAGACATGTAAGATAAGTCTTGACAACAATAAACGTGAGGTGAAATATTCTCAATGCTAACATTAGCA